CCCCCCTGGCTCCTCTTCCCTCCTCCCTCCCTCCTCCCGCCTCCCGCTGCTGCGCCTCTGCCTCCGCCTCCCCGTCCCCGCCGTCGTCGTTTCTGCCGTCTCAGCATCCGTCATGCGCGCCCTGCCTTCCGCCCTCTCATGTGCAAACATCATGCTACCATGTTCTAACATGCCATGCCAGCCCGCACTGGACGGGCACGCAATCGACCTTGGAAACCGCAGTGCGTTTAAAAACCCTGTTTGGGGATACTGCACTCCGGCTATAATGTTGTTCCATTGGGAATCGTCTACGAACCTGTGGGAGCCATTTCGAAGCCGTCGGAGGCCGTCCATGAACATTTCTGAGGTTGCCTGGCCGCAGGGTCCGCCAGTCCATTTCGCACAGACCCCCCTCTCCAAACCAGCCGGACGGAGTCCCCCGGGAGGGATTTGGTCACACGCTGTAGACTCCAAGGGATCGGCGGACTCGCAGAGCTCGCCCGCAGCGCCAGCCTCCTCGTCCTCCGCCTCCTCCTTGCCTCGGCCCTGGAACCCGACTCCTGCTCCCTCCCCTCCCTCCCTCCCTCCTCCCTGGGGAGCGGCGGGCAGAAGAAGTGCCTCCCCTCGGCTCTCGGGAAGAGAGCTATCCTGCATCCGACGGGCACGGCGCTTGCGCGGACCCCGCCTCCGTGACTGGCCGACCCTCTGTCGCTGCCTCCTATGGGGCCGGCGGCGGCCCCCCGGCCGGGAAGGCGAACAAGGTCGAGGGCGCCCTCGGCGGAGCGTGACGCCCCCCGCGGCGTGGCGCGCTCGCGTGCTCCCGGTCTCGGACGTGGCCGGGACGAGGACACGCCCCCGCTCAGAGCGTGCCAGAGCGCTCGCAGGGCGTGCCGGAGCGCTCTGAGGAGGCCGCGGCGCCGGAGACATCCTCCAGAGCCGCGCTGGATCTCAGGGATTCTCGAGCTATCCTCGCCCGATGTTGCCTTCATCCTGGCTCCGTCTTGCCGTCGCCAAATTCGGGCAGTGCACGCTCAATTCGGTCGGCGGCCCCGTGGGCGCCGCCCGCTGCGCGGCCCGCCCAAGGTGGCGGCGCGGGCGGGCGCCGGGTGGACGAGCCGCTTGCTTGAAAACTGGCGATGGCGGGAGGGGGGTATGGAGGAGGGAGGAGGGAGGAGGGAGGTGGGAGGCGGGAGGAGGGAAGAGGGAGGAGGGAGGAGGGAGCAGGAATTACGATGAGGGAGGAGGGAGGAGGGAGGACGTAGGAGGGAGGTTTGTGGTTCGCCGCGGGCTTTGCACTGGGCGTGCTCTGACAAATAGTCCTCGTGATGCTCGGCTGGACATACGAATAGAAATAGAGAGAGAGAGAGACACTGGTAGCGCAACCACTTAAGATACCGCTGGACCGAGGTATACTATCGAGCTCGGTTCGGGGAGAGTGCCCTACTAATGTTCTTCGTGCTTGTTAGATGTTCTTGTACATCCCAGGGGAGGGCACCCTCGAATCTTCTTTGGTTTTTGGCCGGCGGGGGGTCTCATGTTCTTAGAGGATGTGTTCTGCTGTCCTAGGCCCGACCGTGCAGGGAGGGATCAGGAGGAGAGGAGGCGGCGGCCTCCGTGTCCTGCGCCTCGACAGGTGGGGCCAGGGCGCGAGGAGGGCACCATTCCAAGAGAAATCCACGCGGAGCTCTCAAAGATCAAATCGAGGAGGAACAGGTGCCCCCACCGGTGCCCTTCTCCAGTTTTCGCAATTTTGTTGGGCCTCCCGGGGGGCCCTGGGCCCTCGTCGCCACCGCTGGATTCGCTCCGAGATTCCAGTCAGAACGCACCCGGGTAGAAATCCAGGGAGTAGCAGTATCTCGGTACCGTTTTGTTTCTCCATCTGTGGGGGATTTTGGGGCCGCCTTTCTTGCTCTTTCTGGTTGCCGCGAAGCTCCCGTGCCCTCGCCGCTGCCGCCCGCCGTCGACTCCGCAGCTGGCGGCCCTGCAGTCGGGCCTGAGCAGCAGGCCGGCCCTGCAGAATGCAGGGGCGTCTTCGTGCCCGGTCTGTCGCGCCGTCTCGTGGCCTCTCCATGGCAGGGGTTGTCCCCGGAGGAGACCCGTGCCCTCGAGGCCTCGGGTGTCCGATGCAGCTGGTCCCGACGGTGCTCTCCCTTTCCTCTCCCCGGCTCGGGTCCCGGGGCGCGGGCAGGGTCGCGGCCAGATGCGCCCGAAGTTGCAACAGGCGAGCCTCGAGCTCGGCACCCGACCCTCGAGCTCGAGCCTCGAGCCCAAACGCTGCCGCATGCCAGCCTCGGGCCTCGATCCTCAGACGCCAATCCGAATGTTTCATGGGAGTCCTCCGGATTCTTATGGGTTCATCAGGTTTCCCAAAGATTCCAAAGGACTCCTCAATACCTAAATATTCCGATTGCTTCCTCTGTTTCCCTGCAGTCTTCAGAGGATCCCAAAGGATCCCGTTCCTCACGATTCCTTGGGACTTGTGAAGGTTGGGGCGAGCGCCTTCACTCGCGGCACCGGCTTGCCGCGCCGCCGCCTCCGTCGCGTGCGCCGCAGGGTGGCCTTCTCGGCAGCGCCCTCCAGAGGCCTGGAGGGCCCCCCGCGGGGCAGCGGCGGGGCGCGACAGGCTGGGGCCGCCCCGGGTCGGAGCAGCTCCTGTAGGGGGCCACAAGCGAACCCTCCCCCTCCTCCAGGAGGAGGAGGAGGAGGAGGAGGAGGAGGAGGAGTAGGAGGAGGAGGAGGGGGAGGAGGAGGAGGAGGAGGAGGAGGAGGAGGAGGAGGAGAGGAGGAGGAGGAGGAGGAGGAGGAGGAGGAGGAGGAGGAGGAGGGGGAGGGTGGGGTTCACGTCAACCACGCTTGTGGCCCCCTATCCTGGCAACATCCGACCCCCTCTGCAGCCTCCCCCGCCTGCCGCTCGCCCCAGGAGGCTCGAGGGGGGCTGGCGGCCTCCGGGGTCCGAGGCTACTCGATCCCTCGATCCTCGAGGAGGGGTGCGGAAGCGGCGAGGCTGCCGGGCAATCTGACGGCGTCGAGGGTTTCGGGAAGGGTGGGATGTGTTCGATGGCCGCGCGGAACGCCCGCTCCGCGCTGCGCAGCCGCTCTCCATCTCAGGCCCAGGCTTTGTCCAGTCAAATATATTATTTGAGCACCGGCGTACTAGCTCAGCGGTGCAGGCGCCCGCTCACTTGACGGAGGACAAGGACAGAGCAGGGGGAGGAGCATCGTATTGATGATGATGATGATGATGATGATGATGATGATGATGATGATGATGATGCTGCTGCTGCTGCTGCTGCTGCTGCTGCTGCTGCTGCTGCTGCTGATGATGATGATGATGATGATGATGATGATGATGCTGCTGCTGCTGCTGATGATGATGATGATGATGATGATGATGATGATGGTGATGATGGTGATGATGATGATACTGATGATGCTAATGATGATGGTGATGATGATATTGGTGATGATTGTGTAGACAAGGGCGATGGGATGATGGCGGGTAATGCTGACCATGATGACCCACCAATTAAACTCTGATGAGATGCAGCTTGACAGTGGCAGCAGGGAGTGAGGGCATCTGTAACATAACGTGTGGAAATTGCGTAGAGGACAAGCCAACGGCTGAGGGAAAAGAGGGGTAGCCCATGACATGGAACGTAGCCATGGTAGGGAATCATTGTACAGCTCGTAGGGTATCATGTAAGGGACATGCTGATGTAATGATTGCCTTTCATCGACCCGCCATGTCCTATATACCCATGCACGTGCAGTCCCCTCGCCTTTCCAATTCGTTTGGCATCCATTGCTTCTTCGTCTACTCCCCTCCGTCGATTCCCCTCCCCATTCCACTCCCCCCTTTCTTTGTCCTCTGTCGATTCCCCTCCCCCCTCCCCTTCCCCCTCACCTCGTCGCCTTCGTTGCTATCCCTGGTGCTCATTGCTCGACGCGTTCACACGCACAGATTTTTTTCCTCGCGGTCCACTTCAACTTCCTCCCAGCCTTTCTTCCTCTCCCCTCCGCGGGGCGCCGCCACCCGTCGCCTGCACTCCCACCCCTTCGCTCGATTTGCTGCGCCTCAGCACACCGCGTCACCTCTGCCGTCTTTTCCCCTCCCCTCCTGGCTCTCCCCACCGCCGAGAGGTCGCGTTCTGCCGCTGTTCTCTCTCTCTCTCTCTATCACTCCGTCACTCTCTTTATTTCAAATCGCAGACACATGCATTTTTGGAGGTCCACGTGGATGTCTTGGGTCGGCGCTGCATCTGTCTCCATGGCGCGAAACACGCGCCAGGGGCGGCGCTGCTGGCGCAGCCGGAGGGGTCCATCGCCAATCCAAAAAGTCCGCGTGGAACTCCGCCAGTTTTTGTTTATTCAGTTTTTGCCTGATCTACTTCAGGGCAAAACGGCTCAGGCTGAAATGACCGCCGTTGCGACCGCCCCCGACTTCTCGAACAAACTCGCGCTGCCAGATGTCTGGATACTCGGGCACTGGGGCGTGCCCAGGGGGCCATGGGCGGCACATGCGCAGGGGTCGGCGTCGGGTCAGCGGTGTCATACCCCCGACGACATGACTGCTTCACAACGGTGATCCGTGAAGGTTTTGTTCCCTTGCACGGGGCCCATGCTTCATCCTGAGCCGCTGTGTAACCCCTGGGTCCCAGCGATGGCCCCCATAGAGGCTTGGGCGTCGCGCAATGGGCGAGGCGATGAACGGGGGGGCAGCGAGGAAAAGGGCCCTGTAGGGCGCAAAAGGGGGGACCAAAAGGAGGCCTTCGGGGCCTCAAAAGGAGGCCTTCGGGGCATGAGAAGTGCACCTCCCCCCCCAAAACATTTATCGCTCCCCCATTTGAGCGACGCCCCAGAGGCCCGAAATTGCCCAACCAAGCACCCCCCGCCGTGACCTGTTGTGTTCGCGGCGCGGCCGGGGTTGGGGGAGGCAAGTGTGGGTAAGGGTCGGCGCTCGGGGGAGAGCCGTGGCTGGGGGCCCGCCCCGAGGTCGAGGGGAGTTGGCCCCGTCCGATGCAATGAAGTTGCTCTGGTCACTGCCGCTGATCGCGGTGCTGGCCAGCTGCGCGGGCGTACAGGCGCCTCGGGGCGTGGCAGGAGTCCCGCCCGAGGAGGGAACGTCGGAAGATGTGTTAGGGGGGAGGGATAGTCGGCCACGCGCAGAGGGGGCAGGGGGTAGGGGGGGAACGCTTCTTAGAAACACCCCTGCTTCTTAGAAGGCGCGGGCCTCATCCGCAGATGGAGGGCCCGCGCCTTCTAAGAAGAAACAGCCTCCTTCCAAGAAGCCTTGCCCCCTCCCCCCACCCCCCCGTTGCGCGCCGCCAAGGCAGGCTCCGAAGGTCGCGCACTCCTCGCCGACGGGGGCCCCATGGCCCACCCCGCCCAGGAGCGTGCGGGTGCGCTCTCGGGGGCCCGTCGCAGATCTATCGGCGACGCATCGCCGACGCAGGCTCGACGTGACGTCCCTTGAGCGGGCCCCTTGCCTCACGCGAGCGACTCGCAAAAAGGTTGTCGTCTTCGCCGACGCTGGCGCGCAATCTGCCCGCGCAAGCTTGCGCGCGGGCGCCCTCGTTTTCAATGCAGCATGCCGTGCCCGCGGTCCGCGTGAGTCACCGCGTCAGGCCGCTGTGCCATCCTGCGTGAGACCCCTTTCCACTTTACCAGGCCATCGCACACATGGATACTCCAGATTCCGTAACCTCATGCCCGTGAGAATAAACACTAGGGGATAATAAAGTTCGGGGTTCAGGAAGAGATAATAAAAGTAGCCCAGCAGACCTCAGCATAATCTCGAAGTAAGAGATGATCAAGAGGAGACCAAGCCGAGCACGTTTTGAGACATCCTTGGCGTTTAGTTTTCATAGAAATATCCTCAACAATGGCTTATCTCTCATGAAATTGTTTTTTTGTAAGTGCTCGTGTAGGGTAGCTCATGTGCCTCAATTTCCATGGATAATCAACCCCAGAGTTAAAAACAGTTCAGGCGAGCGTGGGGACAGAGAGAAATATAAAAGAATAATAATACAGTAGAATAATAATAAAGAAGAAGAAGAGGATAATAAGAAGAGGACGAAGAAAGGAAAAATCCAGAGTTCCAAATCTATCAAGTTTAATTTACAAACGCTTTATGAAAATTGATTTTGTAAGTGCTCGTGTAGGGTAGCTCATGTGCTTCATTTTCCATGGATAATCAACCCCAGGGATAAAAAAAGTTCAGGCGAGCGTGAGGACAGATAGAAATATAAAAGAAGAAGAGGAAAGTAGAATAATAATAAGAACATTGCTCGTTTCGTTTGAGTCTGCCTCCCAAAATTATTGGTTTCGCTTGACACATCCTGAAAAAGTGTGATCGCTTCGCTTGATGTTGCTATATCAACATCGCTTGATGTTGCTATCTCAACATAGCGTTTCGAGGTGATAATGAAGTTCGGCCTCAGCGCTCGCCGCCCAATTTGAATTTTGTATAGGGCGACGATAATCAACTAAACACTGAAGGGGGGGGGTCCCTTTGTTATCATCGGCATGCGGTTAATAAAAGGGAGGGGGTCTGGAACTTCCAAGACAAGCCATTTCAGACCTCCCCTGTGGGAGAACCCTCAAAAACATCGTCCCCAGACCCCCCAGGCCCTCCAAGATAGCCTGGAAGAGACCTCCCCCCGAAATGAGACCCCCCTCCCTTTATTTCTGGAGTAAAGGGGGGATCAGCGACGGGTTCCGCTCCCATGGGATGTCGCGGATTCCCGCCGCCGAACGAGGCGACCCCGGCCGCACTTTTGGGGAGAGCGCTTCCCCCCGCTCCATGGACTTGGCGACCGCGCGTCAAGTCCATGGACCGCGAATCCATGTCTGCGCGCCCCCGACTCTGGTCGCTCACGCTGCCCTCGTGGACGGAGCCAGCGGGGAGGAGCGCGCACGGCCCTGCCGCCGCGGCCGCCGCCCCGCCGCCCTGCTTGCTGCTGCTGCGGCCGCCGCCCCGCCGCCCTGCTTGGTGCTGCCCGGCGGGAGCGGGCCACCGCCTCGCCGCCGCCGCCGTCGCCGCCGTCGCCGACGTCGTCGTCGTCGTCGTCGTCGTCGTCGTCGTCGTCGCGGCTCCCGGGTGCCGATCCTGGCCCCCGGTCGGCGGAGGCTAAGTCCATACGGAGCAAGTCCATACGGAGTGCCCGGTCTGCCCCAGGGCCGCTGGATCTCGGCGGATTCCCGATTTATGCTCACCTGGTTTGAATCCTCGTCCTGGCTTCGTCTTACCTTGGGGGCCTCCCTCGAGAGCCGATTGCCGTCTGGAGACCACATTCCGCCAGCGGAGGGCGGAGGGTACGGTTCTCCGAGCAGTGCTTGCACCGAAAGGTTCCTTCTCCTCTTGATGGGCTGGCGCGAGCTGTCGGGGTCTTTTGGGGTGCGCGGTGGCGCGCGGCGTTACGGCCCGCCTCTTCGCTTCTTGCCCCCCCCCTCCCTATGCCGGCATCTCCTCACCTCCACTCGTCCGTTCTCTCACTACTCCATTCTCTCGTTCCTCCTCCGAAAGAGGGAAGCAGACCACGCGGGAAGCAATGCCTTGTTTTCGCTCAAAGGTTCTGGTTCGTGGCGCTATCAGTTTCAGTTGTGTCCCACATCCGAAGTGGGGTTCTTATTGCCTCTGGATCATTCAATCACTCACGCACCATCGTCGTCATCATCATCATCAGCAGCATCATCATCACCAGCATCATCATCATCATCATCATCATCATCATCATCATTGTGATCATGATCATCATCATCGTCATCATCTTCATACCAACATCAGCCTCCTCATCATCACTAACAGCCTCCTCATCATTCACTCAATCATTCACACCACTATCATCAGTTGCACACCACACGCGATCAAGCTCACGCGCTCACTTCATCAGCATCACCATCATCATGATCAATCTCTAGCTCAATATCACCATCTGGTCATCACCATCGTCACTTCCACATCATCATGTTCATAATCATCATCATCATCATCCCACGCACACGCATACGTTCATCTTGAGCAAGTGTCGAACGGGAGCCCTGTCTGTGAGTGAAGTGTGAGGATGTCTCAAGTGGGAGCCCCCTTCCTATTGGGCCCGCAGTTCATGTTACTCTTCCGAGCGGGTCATCCGGATCCTGTAATTATCGTCAGTTTCGGGCTCCTGAGTCTTGAATCTGGAGGAATCCTCGTGCGGGAGCCTCGTCCGTGAGTGAATTGCGAGGAAGCCTCAGGGGGGAGCCCCCTCCCCATGTGACCCGCAGATCACGTTACTAATCCGAGCGGGTCATCCGATTCCTGTAACCGTCGTCACATCGGGCCCCTGAGTCTTGGAGGAAGTCTCGTGCGGGAGCCTCTTCCGTGAGTGGAGATCGAGGAGGTCTCGGGCGGGAGCCACCTCCCTATGGGGCCCGCAGATCATGTTACTAATCGAAGCGGGTCATCGAATCCCGTAAGTTTTTTGGGGTGCTTGCGCCAGGGGGAGAAGGATGATGACGCACAGTACGGGCGCCTGACCAACCACGAGGGCGACGAGGGTTATTTCCAGATCAGCCGAGGGGATCCTCACGTGGGGTCCTACCGTCGTCGTGGTTTGTGGCCCGCGTTGTGCCGTCCGCGGCCTACCTTGGAGAGCTTCTGAGGGCCACGCATGTGATTGCAGAGATCATTGGGATTTCCTCGGGTTCTCTTGGGTTGCTTGGAGCCGCCTTGGAGCTGAGTTGGGTCGTCGCTTGTCCGTCTGGGCGCGGTATTGGCCTGTCTCTGGCCGTCGTCTGGCTCTTCAGAGGTTCTTTCGGACCGTTCGGGGCGGCATGGGGACCGTCTTGAGCCTCCTCAGAGGCAGCTGCGTGCCCTCTGCATCGATGCTACCTCGGGGCACTACGAATGCTCAACAACACTCGTCTGAAAAGAGTGTCAACACAACATGAGAATTGTTATTGCGTTTCTGGGTGCCTTCGGAGATGAGGTTCTTGCAGATGTCATTTGGCGACCGAGTGATACTACCGTACTAAGGCAAGATAAGCTCACCACGATAAGGGAATCCACTCGATTTGCGAATCGCTAAATTGAGAGTATCCTAATCTCGTTGCCTAATCATGAGGGCCACTGGCAATTGTTGACGCTTCGCGTATCCCCACCAGCCCATCCGGAAACCATGCCCAGGGGAGTTGAGGTGATCAGGGAAGTCGGGGAGCATGCAGAATAACAAAGGGCGGGGAACTGTCACATACCCCGAGAGGGGGAGGATGGAAGAGGAATCGTCGTCGGAGGAAGAGGAGGAGGAGGAAGGGGACGAGGAGGAGGAGGAGGATGATAATGAGGAGGATATGGAGTAGGGCGAGGACGAGGAGGACGAGAAGGAGGAGAAGGAGCAGAGGGAGGAGAAGGAGGAGAAGGAGGAGGAGGAAGAGGTGGATGAGAAATTGAAGAGGACGGCGAACCGAAGAGACAGAAGCGTCTTAAATGCATTTCGGAGATCCTCTTGAGGCTTCTTAGGGTTCTCTGGGAAGCCTCTTGGAGGTCTCTTGGGCGCTTCTTGGGGCCTCTTGGAACCATCTTGGGGCGGTCTTGGGGCCTCTTGGAACCATCTGAGGAACCATCTCGAGCGATCTTGCGCTATCTTGAGCCATCTTGGAGCTCATCCTGGGCTCTCCGAGGCGTCCTGAGCGCGTCTTGGGGCGCTCTTGGAGCGCTATGGGGAGCCTTCGGGGCGCTTTTGGGGCCATCTTGGAGGGAGTCGATCAAACAAGAGGGGGGGGTGAATTAGCGTCCCCCCCCCAGGAGGCCAAAATGGGGTGAAAACCGTAGTAAAATCAATGATTTTGGCTTCCTCGCCGAGGCCGTTTTGGACGCTCTAACTACCCGCGGCCCCCCCCGTCCAGGTCCAGGGGAGGGGGTAGGGGGAGGGGTAAACCCCTCCCCAAGGGGGAAGAGGGAGGGGTGGAAGAGGATCTGTTCTAGACCACCTACGCCCAGAGGGCTGGTGGGATTTTCAGAGTGTCTGCGACGGTCTAGTGGCCGTCTTGGGCCGTCTTGGGCGAGCCCATCCAGGAAACAACCTTGGGGGACCCGAAGGTCCGAATACGGAAGGACTTTGTGATGGACACGTGCTACTTTGGCGATTTCGGGGAGTGTATACCGCCACGCCATCGGGACTGCATGAATCAGCGTTCGCGTCTGCAACGCGTGGTATGGGCATCGCAGAGGAGTGCACATATATTGTTTCTAGTTTAAACATTGTAGTGGGTCTGCGCAGGGCCAAAGGCTATCGCGAACGCGCTGTGCCGTTCATTGAGCTGGATGGGGTTGCATGTATTTGTCCTATGTTCGTTCAGGCTGTTGCGTGATGCCATGTCTCGGACACGGCAGCATAGCAATTTGTGGCTAGTCGGGATCATCTCCAGTCGAAATCATCTCCAGTCGAGCGCCGTGGGATATGCCTTCTGCGTTGCAGGTATTATGCGGGCAGCATCCACGGTGCCACAGGCCAGCTGGTCCGCCAGGGGTCAACCCTGCACGGCAGTGGAAATCCTGCGCAGAGTACCGTCGTGCCCCCTAGGAAGGGTCACGCCATGCAGGCCGCTGCCGCTCCCAACGCCAGTTCTCTTGCGCAGGCCATGAGCGACCCCATTGAGTCCTTCATGACCGATCCTCCCGAGCCCGCAGCCGCCTCGGCCAACGGCAAGAGCTAACCCGTCGCGTTGGCCATTTCTTCCAGCGGCTCTACGGGAGCCCTCTGTGAAACTCCACGGCAAGACGCCTACGCCAAAGGCGTGACGCAGAGCAGCGCCATGGACAAATCCGGGTTCGAGCAGCCGGGGGACGACCAGGGTGAAATGGCTCGAGTTCAGGCCGCTCAGGATTGGAATCCGTGTCGTTCGACTGGACGAGGAGGGGGGGAATTTGATGAGGAGCACGACGACGAACGACTGACGGCTCACGACCGGCGACTGGCAGCGCCGACGGCGACTGCGACGACGGCGGCGGCGACGACCACGGCGGCGGCGGTTCGAGGCGCGGCCGCGGCGACGCGCGGCGGCCGCGGCGGCGGCGACGCGCGAGGCCCAGAACCCGGGGGTGTACCCGATCGCGTGGGGCGGCGGCCGCGCCTCCCGGCCCCCTGGAGGCACCCGCGCGACCACCGCACGGGTCGCGGCCGTCCACCCTCGCCGCCGCCGCTGCCTCCGCCGCCGCCGGGCATCCGCGTCGGCGTCGCCGTCGCCGCTGCTGCTCGGGCCGTCTTGTTGGCCTCCGAGGGGGCCTCTTGGGCAGTCTTGCAGCGTCGGAGGCCAGGAAGAGGCGAGAGCGCTAAGATCATCATGTATTTCATTGGGGCGCTGAACATCAATGATCTTGGCCTCCTGGAGGGCCTCTTGGAGCCCTCTTGGAGCGCTCTGGGGGCCTCTTGGGTGTCCCACCCCCCCCCTCCCCCCTCCCTCCGCGCCCCCTCGCCCAGCAGGAGGCGGCCAGCCTGCGCCGCTGCGGCAGGACGCCGAGGCGCTCCTGGCGCAGAACAACGCCCTGCTCACCCAGTACGCCGCGGAGCACCCCCCGAGCAGGAGCGGGCCTTCCCTTCCTCCCTTCGGGGTCCACAGCGGGTTTGGTTGGCGTGCGGGTCAGCCGAGTCCCTCCAGGTGGTCGTGCTGCCGCGGCAGCGACCCCGCCGCGGGCGTTCCAGGTTGAACCCCGCCGGTTGCCCAGAGTCGGCCAATCGTGGATCGAGTTGGCGATCGAAAATCCGCCGCTCGTTCAAGTTCGAACGATCCACACGGTGTCAGAAACCGACGCCAGGGTTGTCACGACACGATCTTCCATACACCTCTGATTCATTGTGGCCCTCAGGCAGTTCCACGGCCGCTTAGTTCCACGGCCGACTGGTCAGGTCAGTGTTCGGGCAGCTCCAGTTGAACTGAAGCAACTCCCTGGGAGCCCATTGCTCACCTGACTGTGTTTTTGTTCTCTACTCCCTCCTCTTCGCCATCAATCCAGGCCTCCAAATGGAGTCCGAACAGCTGGGGTCGGAGGATCCCGCCGCATCGCCGATGCGTCATCGATGCGGCTCGATGTGGAGGTCGATGTTCTCCACGCCGACGGCGTCGATGCATCGCCGACGCATCGCCGTTGCATCGCCGGCGATGCGGCGCGACCCACCGACACCATCCACTGCGGCACCATTTGGGTGGCCTCCATCTTCGCCATGAAGGAGAGGGGCTCCCGAGGGACACGGGTCCCGAGGGGCACCATCTGGGTGGCCTCCATCTTTGCCATGAAGGAGAGGGGCTCCTGAGGGACACGGGTCCTGAGGCTTTGGGCCGTCTTCGGGGGTCCCGAGGCCCTCCACGGCCCCCAGGACCTTCCACGGCCCCCAGGACCGTGGGGCTGGTCCTGGGGGAAGGCCCCACGGCCCAGGACCCGTTGGCTTTCCCTCCTCGTGGATCGAACAAGGACGAATGACATCAGCATGCATTCTCGCAGGCCCGCGCGGATTGCCTAGGCCAGCGCTGGGCCCCCCTGGCGTCTCCTCTGGCGATGCCTCTGGCACTCCTCGCACCAGGGAGGCGGGTCCAGCGCCGATCCAAGACATCCGTGCGTGTGCAGGCTTCTCTTCTATCGGAGTGGATCGAGGGAAAAACTCAGTCAGGAGGTTTAAACAACCGATACAAATAAACGTCGATTCACATGAACATCTGGGAAACTATGGGAAGTGGGGGTAGACGAACATCCAGAACATATTGTAACATACAGGGGATCCTGGGATTTGTATCCATTTACTTGTGTGTCCCGGGGCCCCTTCAGTAAGCGCGGGAAGGAGGGGGGAGGGAGGGGGGCAGCAAGCTAAGGGATGGAGGGATCGACGGAGGTGCCTCCGCCTCCGCGATCCCCGGGGTTCGAAGGATATCCCAAGCGGCCTCGCGTCGTTCGCTCTGGGGCCGCCGCAGAAGTCAGAGCATCGCGGATCTAGTAGGGGGGGGATCTAGTAGGGGGTTGGAGGGGGTCAGCACGGGGAGCTGGTAAGGGTTTGTCCTACCGGGCGCGCGCACACACGCTCGCGCCGCCCCCCCCCCCTTCGCAGGCAATCTTTCTCCTCCGATCCCCGAGCTCCGCCCGAAAAGTTTGAAAGCTAGGAAAAAAAAGAAACCCTTGGACACACCTGAAGCGGGCTATCTGGACGCACCCCTATCCAGGTTGGACGCCCCCCTTTCGTAGATCCCAGGGTTGGGCCCCAGATTTCTGGTCCACCCGACAGCGCCACGAAGCCTGGAACCCAGGGCCCGTGTGGATCGAGGGCCCCTGGAACCCCAGGGTCGTGTGAGATATGTGATCCAGGGTCGAGGGTTCACAGCCCCCCCCCCCAGATGGTATGGTCCCAGGATTCCTCGCCCCCCCCCCCCCAGATGGTATGGTCCCAGAGACGACGACGACGACGACGACGACGACGACGACGACGACGCGACGACTACGACGACGGCGACGACGACGACGACGACGACGACGACGACGACGGCTGCGGCGGCGACGACGCCGGCGGCGGCGGCGGCGACGACGACGATGACGACGATGACGACGGCGACGACGACGACGACGACGACGGACGACGACGACGACGACGAGGACGACGAGGACGACGAGGACGACGAGGACGACGACGACGACGACGACGACGACGACGACCTCTGAACCACCACAGCACCACACCACATCCACAGGGGGGGGGAGGGGGGCACCGCAGCGCAGCACCACGCCACGCCCACCTCTGAACCACCACAGCACCACACCACATCCACAGGGGGGGGGGGGGGCACCGCAGCGCAGCACCACGCCACGCCCACAGGGGGGGGCGGGGGGGACCATCGCGCGGGGGGGGGGGGCAATGGCATCAGCATTGGGGGGGGGGGGCCCAAGCCCTGGACCATATATGGTCGAGGGTTTGTCCCCCCCCAAAGCTAATGCCATCGGGCCCCCCCTCCGCGCGATGCCCCCCCCTTTTGGGCGTGGGCGGGGCGTGGTGACTCCCCCCCCTCCCCTGTGGATGTGGTGTGGGTGTGGTGTGTAGCTGTGGGTCTGTGCGGGGTGATGCCATGGTCCTCCTCCCCCCCTCCCCCCCTCCCTCCCCCCCTGTGGGTGCGGTGTGGGTGCGGCGTGTGGCTGGGATTGGCGTCATGTTGACAGCTCCAGCGCTCGACGTCGTCGCCGCCGCCGCTGGTGGTGCCGTCGACGTCGTCGTCGTTGTCGTCGTCGTCGTTGTCGTCGTCGTCGTTGTCGGTGTCGTCGTCGTCGTCGTCGTCGTCGCCGTCGTCGTCGTCATTGCCGTCGTCGTCGTCCTCTTCCTCCTCCTCCTCCTCCTCCTCGTCCTCCTCCTCCTCCTCCCCTCCCATCCCATCTGGGGGGGGGGGCCCGAGGACCCTGGGACCCATCCCATCTGGGGGGGGGGGGGGGCGAGGACCCGGAGCCCGCGATCATATATCTGTATTTGCATGCATGCGTGTATGTATGCATGTCTGTATGCATGCATGCATGTATGTATGCATGCATGTGTGCATGTATGTATGTATGTATGTATGTATGTATGTATGTATGTATATATGTATGTATGTATGTATGCATGCATGCATGCATGCATGCATGCATGCATGCATGCCTGTATGTGTGTATACACGCACGTACGTATGTACGTATGTACGTATGTACGTATGTACGTATGTACGTATGTACGTATGTTTGTCTGTCTGTCTGTCTGTCTGTATGTATGTATACACGTATGTACTTGCGTATGTATATATGTCTGCATGCATGCATGTATGCATGTATGCCTGTATGTGTGTATGCATGTATGTGTGTATGTGTGTATGTGTGTATGTATGTATGCATGCATGCATGTATGTATGTATGTACGTCTGCATATAGGTATGCATGCATGCATGCATGCATGCATGCATGCATGCATGTATGTATGTATGTATGTATGTATGTATGTATGTATGTATGTATGTATGTATGTATGTATGTATGTATATATGTTTGTATGTATGTATGTATGTATGTAGGTAGGTAGGTAGGTAGGTAGGTAGGTAGATATGTATGTATGTATGTATGTATATATGTATGGACGTATGTATACATGTACGTATGCACCTATGTAAGTTCGTGCGCATGTACGTATGTACTTATATACGTTTATGCGTATGCACGTATGTACGTATGTACGTTTGTGCGTGTGTAAGTATGTACGTATGTACGTATGCACGTTGGTACGTATGCACGTATGTACGTAGGCACGTATGTACGTATGTACGTATGTACGTACGCACGTATGCGCGTATGCACTCATGCACGTATGCACGTATCCACGTATGTACGTGTATGCATGCTCACACACATATATATATATATATATGTATATGTGTATACACATATATGCACAAGTGTCGGTCTCCGTAGTGCCAACGACCTTTTGGATGCGAAAGGGGGGGGGCGGAGGCGAGTGGGAGGCTCCCTTTGCGACATGGTTTTGATAGGGAAGCTTTTCTGCATGGCGAACTTTCGTACTGAGCGGGCTGGCTGCTCGACATTGTTCGCCTGCTCCTCCATGCCCAGGCGGGGCCGGGCAGGCGTTACCGTGACGACGACGGCCAGGTGGAGGGCCTGGCCCTGGAGTACGTGTCAGCGACTACCTTGAATCAGACGACTTCGTTTTCTTTTCCCTCGTTCCCTCCATCTTCTGAGGATACCTCTGCGGGCCCGAGCTCCCCTTTCCCTGGGCCGTCGCCCCTTCTCCAGTCGAGGCTGCTCCCGCTCTTGCCACCTTACGTCCACGGGTCCATGGACGTGCCTCCCGCAGTCACCAGCACGAGGCGGTTGGACGACGTGCCCGTCAAACTCTATCGACGCCGACGGCTTCTCCGAGCCCTCGGCCTTGGCTCCACCCCCCAGCGTGTGCCGCTGCCTGGCAGGGCGACCCGGGCGGCGCCGGCGCCCTCGCTGCCCTCGCGCAGCTTCGCCGCCCGGGGCAGTACCGAGGGGGAGTTGGCGCAGCGGTGGCCTGGGCCTCCTGAGCGGGGTCGGAGCAGATGGGGCCGGAGGATCGCGCCTCATCGCTGATGCGTCGCCGATGCGGCTCGATGTGGAGTCCGATGTGCTTCACGTCGACGTCGCCGAGGCATCGCCGACATCGACGGTGCATCGCCGGTGCATCGCCAGTGCATCGCCGATGCATCGCCGATGTATCGCCGATGCATCGGCGATCTGGCGCGATCCTCCGACCCCATCTACTCGGACCCCATCTAGGAGGTCTCGAGATGGCTTGGAATGCCTGGGCCTTTTTTTCGCTGCGGATCCCGTGCTCCGCAGGACCAAGGAGTAGTATCTCCGCTCCCTCTTGGTCCGTGGCGATGCCGTCCTCATCTCGGAGGCTCAAGGCTGCGCCAGCCAACCAGAAAGCATGGGAGGCTCCGCGAGGCAGTTCCTCCTGGTGGTCGGCGGGCCCCTCCGCGGCACACGCCGGCATCGGCATCGTTGTCAAGAATGTGTTTTTGGAGCATTTCGACGGGATCCTCTTGGA